GCTAGGCCTGGTTGAGTGACTGGGCAGCTGGGTGTAGTATTCCCCATGATGAGACTGGAATCAACTCCATGATGGAATCTACAGTGAGCAGCTGAGTAACTGCATTAGGGAATGTGGTCTGCTTCCCGTATATAAGGAGAAGGCTTGCAAAATGGTTTCTAGCTTACGGCACACTTGAACCGTGCATGTAGCTGTGAAGTTGCTCAGCAGCCAGCCATGCTCTGGCAACCTTGGGACTTTTAATGGACTTGAATTAATGGCCTGTTGTGTGTTTTTGTAACATCAGAACTATGTCTTTTTACTTGTCAATCTTGAGCTTGTCAGTCTCAGCAGCCAGTAGCTGTTTGAGGGAAGAAAAGTCTCCAGCTTCAGTGGGCTGGGAACAGGAGGCAGAGCTGAAGCTCAAGGTTAGGGCTTTAAGCCATCCCCTTGAGCCTGGCACTTTGAACTCCTACTGAAAGCCTCCAAACTGTAAGATAATAAACTCCTGTTTTTTCAAGCCATCCCATTTGTGGTATATCCCTGTCAGAGTGCCACTTGGTAACCAGAACACCAACTTAACTGTTAGGGATAAATTTGCCCAAGCATATGATAGGTGCTTTTGATATTTTAGTTTCATATCTTATTTTCTTACAGAAAAGTTTGCAGGAATTCTAATTTCAAATATTCTTTGTCAGCAGTTACTTGTGGGAGAACCTATTTATCAACATGTTGGATTGTTTTCTGTTTGTTTATGACTTTTTATAAATTTCTTCTGTTTTCCTTTTTTTTCTTCTCCTAACTCCTTCCCCCACCCCCATCCTCTGTATCCATTTATATATACTTTATATCTATTATTTCACAGGCTACTTTCTTTTAGTTTCATTTTTTAAATAATTTTGTCTTTTTATTCAATTTCTTTCTTGAATTCTATCACCTCTTTTCCCATTGTTTTTCTATTTCTAGTCAACATTTTAAGCTTCTGAGTTACAATGGTCTTTCATTTCTCCAATTCTTTGTTTAATTAAATTTAATTAATGCTTGAGTGTTGCGTTTTCTTCTGGTTTGTGGCCTTTATAAAACATATTTTCATTAGCTGAAAAGCATTTATTCATACTTTTAGTATTCTCTATGTTAAGTTGATTCTGTTCATCATTAAGTCTGTTTGATTTTCCTGAGACTGAGGCAATGTGTTGCCTAATCTGTTTCTTAGTTTTAGAGTGGCTATTTCTGTTCCTATAGTGAAGTGCAGTTTGAAAAATATGTCACCTTGTTTTTTGGGGATGGAGTGCTCTGTATTCTGCTGATCTTTTGAGTTGAGTTTTTGGGTGGTAGGGATCATATTTTCAGCCTCTTTTATCATTGTCATCATCATCTTCTTCTTCTTCTTCTTTTTTTTTTTTTTTGCCATCAAGCCTATAAGAGGCATTTTCCCTTTCCAAGGTGACTTCCTCTCTCTTGGAAATGCTGCTTCCCCAGCACCATAATTCTCTCTTCCCTCATGCATTCCAAGTCTCTTCCTTTCTACTTTCCAGCAGTCAGTACTCTGATCCAAGCGCTCAAACAAAATAGTCCATTCATTGAATGAAGAGACCCTTGTAATGTGTGTGTGTGTGTGTGTGTGTGTATTACTGGGTATTCTTCTATACCTTATTTTTAATCAGCAGTTGATGGTTCAATATAAGCAAATGCTGTTCCTTTAAACACTTTTAAAAATAATCTGTATATAAAAATGTACCAAGAATACCACAAACTTAATTCTATCTCTTAAAGAATAAAACACTACCAATTCAATTGAAGTCTGCATGGAAATTTCCCCAATTGTACACACTTCCTCTCTCCTTTTCATCTTCTCAAATCTAACATAAGAAAAACATGTCATTTCACATATTTCTTATTTTATATAAATGTATCATATTGTAAACATGCCTCTATAACTTGTTTTCTTCCTCAATTTATGCTTTTAAGATTAATCCATGTGTTTATATGTATCTCTATGTGATTTTTCACTATTAGATAGTATCCCATTGTATGAATATAGCACAATTTATTTAATTATTCTCCTCTTTATAAGTATTACATGACTTTGAATTTTTTTTTTAATTTTTTGTTATCGTAAACAGTGTTGCAATGATGGCTTTTACTCTTTAACAGTTTAGGAGGATAGAAGTCCAAATTCATGGTGCTAGCCCTGGGGAAGGTTTTAGCTCTCTGTTGGCTTAGACGTAAGGAGGAAGGTCCTTGTCGCCCTTCAGCATCAGTGGACCAGCATTCCTTGGAGATCTCTGTGTGTCTTGGCATCAATCACCCCTGGGTCTGGGAGCACAGGGACGCTGGGTCCAAAGGACATACTCTCCTCCTGGCTCTTCTTTTTTGGTACTAATAGTTCCCTCTCTCTCTGTGTTGGCTTCTCTCTTCTCTTATCTCTTGTAAGATAAAAGGTGATACAGGTTAAACCCTGTATAAGATCAGGGCTGTGACTTGATTAAGTGTGTTTTATCCCTCTCTAATCTCCTGATAACTGATTTATCACATCAGATTACATTAAGGGGCATCATTACAAAACTGCCAAACTACTGAGAATCATGGCCCAGCCAAGTTGACACATATTTGAAACAATCTTATATATGTTTTTGTGCATATGCATATGTAAGAGTTTTACATGTAAGAGTGGGATCCTGGATGGAATGGAAGCAGAAACTAAAGATGAAAACATCTAAAATACATCAAGAAATCAAATCACATGTTGTAGTGGGAAAATCTGCTGCAAATCTCTCTTTAAAGTTTTAAAAAGGAAAGAGGGCTATGGTGCACCTGACCCAAGCAATGACATTTTCAGTCACCTCATACACATGCAAAAGTTAGATGATGAATGAGGAAGAATGAAGAATTGCTGCAATTGGATTATGATGTTGATGAAGAATATTGAATATACCACAGACTACCAGAAGAATGAAGACATCTGTCTTGGAAGAAGTACAGTCAGAATACTCCTTAGCAGCAAGAACGGTGACATTTTGTCTCATGTACTTTGAACATGATATCAGGAGGGACCAGTCCCTGAAGAAGGGCATCATGTTTGGTAAAGTTAGAGGGTCAGAGAAAAAGAGGGAGACCCCCAAAAAGACAAATTGACACAGTGACTGCAACAATGTGCTCAAACATAGCAACATTTGTGAGGGTGGTGCAGGCACAGGCACTGTTTTGTTCTGTTGTGCATTGGATTGCTGTGAGTTGGAACTGACTCAACAGTCCCTAGCAACAACAAGGCGTAAATATCTTCAACAACATGGAATGTTGTCAACTTGTTCTCCATAGGAATTACAATGATTTACACTATGCTAGCAGTGTATAAAATTCCCTATTGCTCTATATTCTGGACAATATCATTATTGTCAAACTTTTCCGTTTTTACCAATTTGTGCATGAAATTATCATTTGCTTCTTGAAATTGCTCACATTATGGTCATATATCTACCTCTCACTTATTGACAATCTCATTATCCAATATCTCGTGTTCACAACAATTGAAAAAATCTACTGTCTGACCATTTTGCATGTTAATAACATATGTCTGGCAGTAATGCACACTGAGTTGCAAGGTAAGAGTAACAATGACTATAGTGGTTGAAGTTATGTGTCCACTTGGCTGGGCTATGATTCTCAGTCGTTTGCCACTTATGTAATGATGTAATTTAGCATTTATTTAATTTAATTTGGCAGTTCTATGATGATACTTTGTGCTGCTGTTATGTACTGATGTAATCACCCTCCATTGTGTGATCCAGGGTGGC